GGAGGGAGACGCGGCTCGGTGAACGACAGCCAAGCCGCCCCCTGCGCGGGGTAGGCGGGGAGCTCCAGACCCGTGCCGCCCCCTGCTTCGTCATCGCCCTTAACCCTCAGCACCGGCCCGGAGGTCGTGGTGACCACTGCCATCCTAGGGGCGGGGACGTTGAGGTTCTGACCCCTAAGCACATCCATCGTTATGTCACCGTTTTCCCGTTTTCTGGCAGGAAGATGTCCTTCCTTTTGTGGCTGGGCCAGCATTTCTGTCCCCCCATCCCTATGAACTTCAAGGCTCTGCACCTGGCCCCCGTCTACCGTGCCCACTCACCCACCCGCTGCAGAGCCCCAGTGGCCTGCTCTCAGTTCCTATAATTCACCAAAGGCCTTCCGCCCGCCCCTTACTCATCCTTCTGAGTAGAGATGACACTCAAGAGGACCCCTGACCACCCAAAGTCCCGCCCTCCCCCACTCCACTGTCCTCCCTCCCACCATTCTTTTCCTTCCTTTGCATCCACTGCAGCTTGTAATTACATATTTATTGGGCTATTTATGTTTTCATGGCTGTCTCACTAGACTCCAAAGTAGCCAGAAACTGCTGGTTTATTCCCCCATGTTCTTCATCCCAGCTTAGGTCTGACTTCATAGTCCCCTCCAACATATGTGGAATGAGAGAAAAAAAAAAAACATAGAAAGCCACAGCTCCTTGGTGTCACCCTCCACAGGCTAGCCCTTCTCTCCAGGCTCCTCCAGGGCCGTGGTGAGGCCTTCCACTTGCATTTTCTTATTTCTGTTTTTCTTTCTCCATCCCTCTGCATTTCCACAGAAAGGGCAAGGGTCTGTGCTGGACAGAGGCCTGAGGACGGTCAGCCTCCCTAGCAAGGCCCTGCTCCTCTCAGGTGACAATTCCCTTCTCTCTGCCTCTACCACAAGGTCACAGGGCAGGCCCGTCTTGAAATCCCCACACAGACACATGTGCACACAGACAGACACATTCACAAAACAACTGTGGAGGGGCACTTTAAAAAAGTCTCTCTTGTTTTAGTGTTATATTATTGAAATGTCCCCTTCCCCTAAGGCTCAATTCAGGGCCTTCTGAGCGAAGTCTTTAAACAGAGGTGTTTCGGCGTCCTTTCAGCAGTGAGATGGAACCCTTCAGGGCCCTGCTCACTCATAGTTCAGTGTCTCTCCTCACTCAGGACAGTCCATGGCCTCCTACTGGTTGGCAGCTTCAGACTAACCCCACTTGGGACGAGACGACAGCCCCCATTATCTTCAACAGAGGTGAACAGGCTTCTCCACTCAGGCTATCTGGGGATTTGAGGGGGTCCTTCCATCCACCCGGAAGCTCTTCCTTCCAGACTGGCTCTCTTACTTGCGATCCCTCCTCTCAGCTCAGGGCTGTGCTGACCCCAGGCTCTGGCCTCAGCAGTCCCCAGGACACCAGAAGGGCACAAAAACTGTAGCAGCTGTGGCTCCAGCTTCCAGGTGGGAAGAGGGGGAGCGCCTGGGGCCCCAGGGCCTGTCCTGGCTTCAGTCAGCACACAGCAGTGGCTTCCCGGAGATCTTCAGGTCATCAAAGGGCAAAAGGGAAAAGGGCTGAGGAAGAGGATGGAGAATGGAGATCAGGATCCATGGACAAAGGCAGCAGTGGGGAAGGGAGCTGGGAGACCTACTGGGCCCTTTCCTCCCCACCAAGTGATAACTGAAGGACATCAGGGAACAATTCTTCCTACTAGTCTCCAAAACAGTGGCCCTCAGGACTAGACAGAGCCCTGAGGCCTTAGGCAAGCCTTCACCCAGAATATCAGATCTTAGAAGGATACAGGAGGTGATCCAGCCCACGGGGCCTCTTTTTGTCTCTATTTTGGGAGGGGGAAAGGGTATTCACAAAACGTATTGAGTATTTTTTTGTTTTACATTGAACATTTAAAAATGGGAAAGATTGTACTGAAAATCTAGGTTTCATCTCTCTTTAAAAATTCCAAGACCTGGAAATACTGGGCCCACCTTCCTCCTCTGCAACTGAAGCTGACAGAGTGACCCTCGGACACAGACTGTCTGGAATCCCGCAGGTCCCACCACCCGGCTGTCTTACACCCAGCCTGCTCTGCTGATCTGCTTTAGCTGCACGGCTCCTTTAGGAGTCCAGGGTTGGGCCCCTGGTCCTGACCAGCTGAGAACATAGGCTGAGAGAGGGGCAGAGGCTTGCCCAAGGTCCCGTGGTTGGTGAGTGGCAGAGTCGTGGATTGCACCCCAGGATCCTAACTCCTTGGCCCTTTCAGCTACTATGGCACTTGTCTCTGCTAGGAATGCGGGAGGCCCTGGACAACAGAGCTGAGGGTCTGCCTCTTACATCCTCGGCCAGGTCCTGAGGGGTCTCATCCTCCACATTCCGCAGCAGGGAGTCGGCACCTGCCTCGCACAGGGTGGATGAGATGCTGCTGAGGCCCCGGCCGGCCGCCAGGTGCAGGGGTGTGCACCCGTTGAGCATGCGGGCATCCACTCGGGCCCCAGCCTGGAGCAGGAACTGCACCAGACCCCGCTCCTGGGTCTCCACCGCCAGGTGCAGCGCTGTCTTCCCGCTCGTGCCCTCCTGGATGGGGGAATAAGGATGTCAGCCAAGGCCCTCAAGAGGAATCATGCTAGGCCCGGGGCCCTGGCTAAGGAGGTGAATGCCACCCCTTCTGACCACAGGTCAGGGGTCCAGGGGCTGGACCTGGACCAGGCAGCACCGTGATTGGCCACTTCACCTGTGCGTCAATGTCAGCTCCATTCTGAAGCAGCAGCTCCATGAGTGGCCGGTTCCTCTGCAGGGTGGCGATGTGGAGACAGGCCAGACCTGGGATGGGGTGAGGGTGAGGGTGGGGGCTGCACCCACCAGTTCTTGCTCTCTCCCTCTCTTCAGGGACCTCCCTTACCCCTAAGCCCCAAGGGACCCACTGCCCGCTCAGTGCCTCTGATCACAGGACTGTTAAAACACAAGCCCAAAAACCCCCTCAAAAGTCTGGGGGGAAAGGAACTCAAAGTTTCCACCTTTTCAGTCATGTTATTGAAACATTCACGCTTCAGGGGTCAGGTTGCTGAGTGACACCCCCAGACACACACCCTCCCTAACACACTCCCCTCCCACACACACACACACACTCTCTCTCTTTCTAAAACTCTACTTGCCTTCAAGCCCCATTCAAAAGCCACTTTCTTCAGAGCTCTCTGGATCTTCAGACCCCTAGACCCTCCCTGGGGTCCACATCCTCCCATGAGCTCCCCTGGCCTTTTTGCTAGCTCCTTTCTGCCCTGGACCACCCTCTGCTTAGAGAACTAGATTCAAATTCTTGTTCAAATTCATCCCTCACTCTTTCAAGTCTTTGTTCAAATGTCTCTACTCCGTGAGGGTTTTCCTGAACCCCCCTGTTTAAAAATCACATCAACCCCCCCCAGCCCTCCACACTCGTCCCCTCACTTGGTCCTACTGTCCCCACAGCACTGCCTGTTAACCTCCTAGAGAACTTACTTCTTATGTTTACTGTCTGCCTCAGACATTCTCTTTTGCTCACAGATGCAAGTGTGGCTCCTACAATGGTGTCCAGCACATAGAAGGCCCTCAAGTATATTTTTGTTGAATGAATTAATGAGTTCACCTAATCTCCATTAAACTGAATATATTGAAGGCAAAGTTTAGCTCTCTGCTTAGGACACAGTAGGTTCTTGATAAATTCTAAATGAAATCTGTTCATTTGTTCATTCATTCATTCATTCAGCAAAGGTTCTGCACACCTATGTGCTTAGAACTGGAGGTGCATTAATGGACAAGCTCTGACCCTCCCTTCCCTGAGACCAGGGTCCCTGTCTCCTGTCCCCTCCTCATCCCATGGGCTGTAAGGCTGCCCACACCTTGCCAGTTTTGCAGCTGGAGGTCCAGGGAGTGAGGTGGTCCTCTGCCTGGCTCTGGCTGCCCCTCCAGCAGGCAGCGGGCACAGGCCAGGTGCTGGCGCTGGCAGGCCACATGCAGGGCAGTGTCACCGTGCCGGTCCTGTAGCACCCGGCTGGCCCCCTTCAGCAACAGGGCCCGAACTGCGCCCGGCTGGTCCAGATGTACAGCCAGGTGGAGTGCTGTCTGCAGGCACAAAGAGAGAGTCACAGGGCCACTGCAGTATGCTCCCACCTCTGGGAACAAGCTAGGGTGGGCACAGGAATTGCCAGGGGCCAGCACCTTCTTTGAGGAAAGCATATAAAAGCTATGGCACTGGTCTTCCAAGGAAACACCACCAAGCCCTTCCTTCTGTTACCCCCTAACCAAGCTCCTGGGACCCCAATTCTGGAGGCAGGGTGAGGGAAGTGG